TAAGAATTGGCCTTGGTAGAAAAGAAAGTACAGGAAGGACACATGGATCATGTGGATCCAAAGCTAGATTGAATTTTAGTTTTTACCCTCTAAGCATTCTCCTACAGGAATTTTAATGAAGAGTAAAGATATTATATTGGAATGGATATTTCTACCAAATAAACAGAGTAAAAAATTAAACACTTATATGGAAAAGATCTCTGACTTGATTTTAAAAGGAAAATTGAGACTTCATCAATTAGTAGGAATAGACCCAGCAGAAATTGTCATACCTTTAACTAAGGATGAAATTGACAAATTATGGGCAGAAAGTGAACCTTGGCAAAGAGCTTGCAGTAATTTTTTGGGAGAGATTAACAGCCAATATTCCAAAAGTGATAGAATTCAACTTATAAAGAGAGCTGATTGGATTCTGCCTTGAATTGTTTAGAAAGCACCCATATCTGGAGTTTGTATATTTTATACATATGCCAACAAACAAGGGAAAGCAGGCTACCAGTCAGAAAATTTAAATAAAGTGGTTATAATTATATAATTCTGTTCAAGAATTGGAATTGTATGCTATTCTGTTGGTATTAATGGATTTTTCTGAAACTCAACATAGTTACTGACTCTCAGTATGCTGAAAGGATGGCCTTACATATTGAGACTGCAGAATTTATCCCTGATGAGTTAGAATTAACTTCACCGTTTATTCAGTTACAAGATATAATCGGGAATAGGAAGCATCCTTTTTACATAACTCACATCCAGTCCCATACAGGTCTGCCAGGCCCTCTAGCATGAAGTAATGACAAGATTGATAAAGTATCGATAGGAAATGTACTGGAGGCCTCAGAATTTCATAAAAAAACATCATGTCAATAGTAAAGGTTTAAAAAACGGATTTTTCCATAACCTGGCAACAAGCCAAGGAAATTATAAGGAAATGTCCTAATTGTTCTTTTTACAATCAGATTCCACTACCAGCAGGATGTAACCCAAGGGGTACTTAGAGGAATAAAATCTGGCAGATGGATGTGTTTCACTTTGCAGAATTTGGAAAATTGAAATATGTACACCACACTATTGATACTTATTTAGGAATTCAATGCGCAACTGCTTTGGGTTCTGAAAAAGCTGATTCTGTAGTCATGCATTTGCTAGAAGTTATGGCCATCATGGGTATACCTGCACAAATTAAAAATGACAATGCTCCAGCATATGTTTCTGTTAAAATGAAACAGTTTTTTGCTTATTACAATATAAAGCATATTACAGGTATACCACATAATCCTACAGCCCAAGCAGTCATAGAAAGATCAAATCAAACTCTAAAGGATATGCTAAGCAAACAGAAAGGGGGTAACACCCCTCGCCCCCCCCCAGAAATAGATTACATGATGCTCTATTTACTTTGAATTTTCTCAGTGCTAATGAGAAAGGAACAACAGCTGCAGAAAGACATTGGATAATAGAAAAACTACAGAATTAAATCAGCCTATATACTTTAAAGATGTGCTGACCTCAGAATGGAAACCAGGATATGTGTTACATTGGGGATGAGGTTTTGCCTTTGTTTCTACAGAAGATAAGCTGTGGATACCATCAAAATTGATAAAGGTTCGATTTGAACAAGAGAGACCTCTTAATTAGAAGAGGTGATGGTTCATCAAACAGCATGACCATCCAATTTAACCTAATTTATACCACTAACACATGCTTTTCACTTAATCAGATATAACTTGCCAAAAGGGAACCTCCCCAAGTTAGGCTTGGAGAAGGGTTTTTGTTTTAGTCTTTCAGGAGAATGAAGAACACTGGACAAATGAAACATCTGAAGAAAAAGGACAAATCATCTAGAAAAAATGTCCCAAGAAAAGGAGTAAATTGGTCTATTGGTATATTACATATAAAATTTCATAAGTCTTCCTAAATATTTGTTTCTGCTCTTCTCTACAAACATTTAACACAAATGGTCTTTTTGTAGTCCCAGTTCAATTAAAAATTAAAGCTGACTTTGGAGTTGGAGAATCACTCTCTCCTTCTCTAAACCCAAGCATGTCTGTTAAAAGAAAAATGCAAAATCTCTGTATCATGTTGGAAAAAAGCCATCTGATATGGGACAGAAGAAAACCAAAATTAAGGGACTATTGCCACTATTCTCAATTCTTTCGTTCTATTTTGATTCTTTAAACTTTTCTTTCTTTCTTTCTTTTTTTTTTCAAGACAGGGTTTCTCTGTGTAGCTTTGTGCCTTTCCTGGAACTTGCTTTGGAGACCAGGTTGGCCTCAAACTCATAGAAATCTGCCTGCCTCTGCCTCCGAGTGCTGGGATTAAAGGCATGTGTCACCACCGCCGGCAGGAAGTCGCTCTCTTTGGAAGCTGTGGAGTGGATGGGGTGAGGTTAGCTCATGGTGTGTCCTATTCCTCTGATCTTTCTCTAAGGCTTTCACCCCTATATTTGGCTTTGTGTTTTTATTGATTAAGACTGTTTAGAAATTCATCTACAGGATGTCTTCCTGTATGCTGTGAATATGTGTTGCTTTCATTGGTTGATAAATAAAGCTGTTTGGCCAATGGCGAGGCAGAATAAGGTAAGGGGGTACATTCAAACTGAAGATGGAGATGAAGAAAGATGTAGTCAGGGCAGATGCTGAGAGCTACCCAAGAAGCAAGATGTGAAAGAACCGGTAAGCCACAGGCCATGTGGCAATACATAGATGAATAGAAATGGGTTAATTTAGGCCTGGGCGGTGGTGGCGCATGCCTTTAATCCCAGCTCTCGGGAGGCAGAGGCAGGCGGATCTCTGTGAGTTCAAGGCTTGCCTGGGCTACCAAGTGAGTTCCAGGAAAGGCACAAAGCTACACAGAGAAACCCTGTCTCAAAAAAACCAAAAAAAAAAAAAAAAAAAAAAGAAGAAAAGAAAAAAAGAAAAGAAATGGGTTAATTTAAATATAAGAGCTAGCTGGGTGGTTGTGGTGCTCACCTTTAATCCCAGCACTTGGGAGGCAGAGGCAGGTGATCTCTATGAGTTCGAGACCAGTCTGGTCTACAGAGCGAGATCCAGGACAGGCACCAAAACTCAGAGAAACCCTGTCTCGAAAAAAAACAAAAATAAACAAAAAACCAAATAAATGTAAGAGCCAGCTAGTAATAAGTCTGAGCCATTGGCCAAGCATTTATAATTAATATAAGCCGCTGAGTGAGTTAAATACTCACTCGGTATTTAAAGTGACTGTGGGACCAGGCAGGACAGAGAAAAGCCTCCGATTACAGTAAATAATGCTACAGCATTAACAGGAAACATTTTGACTTTGTGGACCACAACTTGAGAAAAACTGGCACATATAATAACTGTGTTTTATATTATTTGAATGAATGAATGTGGATAGTCTTTGGGGGATTACAAGCATGTGCTACCACACCCAGCTCATTTTCACCTAAGCTATTGGGAGGAGTAAAATATGATCACATGAGAAAGTAGATCTGTTGCTGGACGGCTGGTGTTTGGTACTTGACAGGGAGTCATTAACAGTGCATTTTTTCTTCTGTGGCTCTGGCCTGCTCACTCTTGCTAGCTCATGACTGACCCTAGAGGAAGGCTGTAGAGTATGTTCTCTTCCTTGAGTTCCAGGAGACAGTGGGCCTGGCTCTGGAAAGGGAAGAAGGTGGGATAATGAAGACACAAGGAATGATTTGGTCCCTAGGAAATAAAGCTGGATTTCCTAGTGGAGACCCAAAGCTTCTGCCATGGAGATGGAAATGGCTGTGTGGGGATCTGTGGAAGACAGACGTGGATGCACTGCTTACAGGTGCTGCAGTCAGGAGAGAAGGCAGGCCCATCTGAGCATGGAAATGACAACCAGTGTAGTTTGCTGCCCAGGGTGTTCTCTGCCACCGTCCTCACCTGGAACTTCCCAAGAAGAAGGTAGCCCCGAGTTGCCACTGAAAAGAATAACATGGGTTTCTGCCGGGCGGTGGTGGTACACGCCTTTAATCCCAGCACTCGGGAGGCAGAGGCAGGCGGATCTCTGTGAGTTCAAGGCCAGCCTGGTCTACAAAGTGAGTTCCAGGAAAGGCGCAAAACTACAGAGAAACTTTGTCTCGAAAAACAAAACAAAACAAAACAAAATCTTAGGAACTAGCTGGCTTGTATTTAGAAACTACAGAATAATTACAGACGAAAAGCCATTATGAGTAGATCGAAGGTTATCCGGCCTGAACTTGATTAACACTGGCAGAAAGGGGGTTGTTAATAGAACTCACTGCGTGGGATGCCCGCCCGGGACACCTAATGGGAGACATATGGACACTCCCCCAGGAGTGCCCGGCACATATTACTACGTGTACTATAGTACTATGTGTGTATTATGTCGTGAACTTGTGTGTTCTTAGCTGCTATACTACATCCTCTGTGGGTTGGGTTGGCTGAAGGCTTTCCCCAATAGTGACTAAAGAAGGACAGAGACACAGTACCGCAGAAACACTCCCCTGGGGAGTGGGTAGCCCAGGCTCCTTGGAAGTGACCGGAGAACCTGTTGCTACAGCCTGGAGGATATTTCTGCCCCACCACCAGCAGCAAGTCGCCGTCTGGTAGAGCTGTCCCTTCTTCAAGAGGAACAAGAGCCTTCCGTAGGCGTGAGAGCCGGCGTCCCAAGCGCAGTGAAGCACATTGCTGCGAACTCCCAAGGAGTCCAAAGGGGTCCGGATGTTCTTGCGTTTCTCCATATTTTACATTTTTACCGCGCGCTCGAGGAGGGTGGTGGTGGATTCTGGTGTTCTTTACACAACCGGGACGCAGGTGGACAAGAGCGACTCTAAAGGCCTTTGCCGCCAAGCACAGAGCTGGAGAGCCGGTGGCTGCAGCCCCCACTTCCACCCCCTCCCTTTCGGGGCTTTCGGCCTGTCAGGTCCCGCCCCGAGTGGGCGTGGCCGTCATGCTCCGGGACTCCCGGGGGCGGGGCCGGGGCGGGTCGGCAGCGGGGGGTGGCGGGCGGGAGCAGCCCGGTTGGGGAGGCCCGCGGGGAGGCGCCTCATCCGGAGGCTGTCCCGCACCGCATAAAGCGGCAGACGCACAGGGTGCCCCGCAGCCGCTCGGGCCGGTCGCCGCTGCGGAGAAGCTGCTCCGATGCTCCAGAGCGGCCATGGGCGTCCCGCACTGGTGGGACCATCTGCGGGCTGGCAGCTCGGAGGTGGATTGGTGCGAGGACAACTACACCATCGTGCCTGCCATCGCCGAGTTCTACAACACGGTGCGGGACGCAGGAGCGGGAGGGCAGGCGGGCGGGCTGGCGGAGGGAGGGAGCTGTCCCCGAGCCTGGAAGCAGGCAGTGGGTGACCGTGGATGTCCGAGGCAGGAGTCACTCCACGCCCCCTTCTCCCCGCGCTGCTTCCAGCTCTATTTCTGCACCCCTCTCCGGTCCCTATCCAGGGCATCTGGGCTCCTCCAGCTCTTCCTGTCATTTTCTTCTGATGGCTCTATTGTCTTGTTTGGCTCCCGTGGTCCTGGAGCCAGGGATCGGGTCCGCGTCAACCCATTCTTCCAGTTTGGGTCAGTTGGGGGTGTGAACCCACAGGGGCAGGTCCCTTTCTCCCTGCTTAGGATCTTTGTGGCGTGACCTGGATCTCATTGTGCGCTTTTGCCCTGAGTACCTGCTTTGGACGCACTGGGAGAGTGGAGTCCGGGCACGTCCGGGGAGTGGGCCCACTCCCACAAGTCGGCATGCCCTTTCCATTAAACTATGACAATACTGATGGAATTATTTCTGCCCAGAATTAAGTTAATTACTTTGAGTTCTTTTTCTTGTTGCTTTTAGAGTCCAGTTTTGAGCCAGCTCCTGGGGGTGACAGTGAAATTTGAAAGTGATAACTTGTGGGTTTTCTGGACTTGCCTAGGTCCCTGGATATGGACAAGCGGAAATTTCAGAAACCTAGGCTTTTGGTCTTTGTGGGAGGGAAGGGTCGTCCCCAGAAGAGGAAATGTCCCTGCTTTTTCCCTGTGCCCGTCGCTCAGGATTCTGGTACCCAATGTGACTTTGCATGATCATTTTTCTGGCTTATCTTTTTTTGCTGTTCAGACACAGAAAACAGGAACTCCTGGTTTGAGTCATTGTGAGTATGAGATTGTTATTTAGGATTTTTCCCCTCGGCTCTTGGATTTCTGGAAAGAATGTCCTCAGCAAGAATCGGGCATTATTGCCTGGATAGATCTCTGGTCTCTTTTATTCCCGCATCGCTCCCGTCCTTTACTTTTGATCCCCTCCCCCACCCCGTTTTTGTTTGTATTGCTCTTTTATTCCCATGGCTATTGAGGGAGCTGTCATGCCCACATGTTGGTATGTCTGGGGCTACAACCCAGAATTCTCCACCTTGCCTCACCTCAGTGCTAAAATACATTGTCCTCCCCATCAGCATCCCGACTTCTTCTTCTTTTTTTTTTTTAAGTTTTAGGTTTTTTTTTTTTTTCCCAAGACAAGGTTTCTCTGTGTAGCTTTGCTCTTTTCCTGGAACTCACTTTGTAGTCCAGGCTAGTCCTTGAACTCACAGAGATCCGCCTGCCTCTGCCTCCCGAGTGCTGGGATTAAAGGTGTGTGCCACCACTGCCTGGCCCTGACTTCTTCTTATATGGCCAGGTTAGTTGCTCAAGGAAACCAGACTTTTGAAATTCAGAGACATAGGAAAAGATCTAGTTAGTGGAAGTGGCCACACTTTTCTTAGTACACAACCTGGTGAAGCATGCTGCTCTCAGGTACACACAGGCATCCACAGAAGGGCCGGAGCAGGGCAAGGTACTTTCAATGAGGAGAAACACCAGTGGTACCAAGTGGAAAATTGCTGAGAAATACTAAAGGTTTCACCAGAGTTGAAGGAATGACAGACTGGTGTGGGGTTCTTGAACACCCACCATGGCAGTTTCCTGTGGAGTGTGAGGCCTGTGGAGAGAGTCAGCCCTGTCATTAGGTCCCTCAAAGCTCTTGCCTAGCTGCTTTTGCCAGCCTTGAAAAACCCCCAGCCCTAGGGGAGGGGGAGACAGTGACCTACCTTGCCTCCTCTTCGCTTCCCTCTCCTCTGCCCCCTCCGCTTGGCTTTTCCCTGTCTGACAAGGGTCTTCCTGTGTAGCCCAGACTGGAACTCAACTCGATGTCCTCCCAGCCCAGCTTCTCAAGTAGCCTGTGCACCGGCTGCTTTTTTCTTTTCAGCCTAACCTCCCGGGAGCTTAGACAGTGAGGACCAAGCTCTGTTTCAGTTTCTACCTGACAAACTTTTTCTTTGGGATTAATAAACCACCGTATTTTCTCCGGAATATATGTGGAAGGTTGCAGAGAAATAGCTGGTCAGCTGGTTGTTATGTGAAAGCCCAAATAACATTTCTGTTTCACCATGGCTCTGCCCGTGTGCTGATGCTATCACAGGCCTTTCCTGAACCTACCTTTCTCATGCATGGAGAATACCAATGAATTGTTGATGATAAACATCTCCTAAGGTCCCCATGATAAGACAGCAGGCTTCATTATTCATTTGTTCATTTGTGGTTTTTTTTGTTTTTTAATTTGAGCTTTTGATGTTTTGCCTGCACGTATGTCTGGGTGAGGTTGTCGGGTCCCCAGGAACTGGAGTTACAGATAGCTAGGAGCCGCCATGTGGGTGTCAGGAATTGAACCCAGGTCTTCTGGAAGGTCAGCCAATGCTCTTAACCAGTGAGCCATCTCTCCAGCTCCTGTTTGTTTGTTCTGAGACAGGGTCTCACCATGTAGCTCTGGCCGGCCTGGGTCTCACTGTGTAGACCAAACTGGTTTCAAATTCACAGAGATCCGCCTGCCTCTGCCTCCAGAGTGCTAAAATGAAAGGCCTGCACCACCTTGCTTATCTCTTTTGTTTTAAGACAGGGTCTCCCTACGTAGTCCAGGCTGGACTTGAACTCACTGTGTAGCCCATACTATGTAGCCTATATTGTTCTTAAATGCACCAAGATTCTCTTGCCTCTGGCTCTAGAATGCCGGGATTTCAGGTGTGTGCGACCATGCCTAGCTTAATTATATCTATTTTGTACAAAACTGGTCATTAGTACCAATTTTGAGAAAAAGTTAAAGGAATTGAGGAAAATGAAAAGAATTGGCAATTAAAGCAGGAGACAACTGGGAGAGGGATCTAGAACCATCTTAGAGAGTCTTAATGGGTGACTAATATGACCAGTTACAACTGGCTACACTTAGCTGTTCGCTGTGTGTTGTGGCTCCATTGGGTACTCTCCACCATCACTGCAGGCATCGTGTGCAATGTGTTCTTTAGATAAAGAGGAAAATCAGGGCCCATTTAGTTTATATCACTTGAAGTCAGGAAATGGAATCAAAACTTAGCCCTTTTGACTCCGCCAAGAGTTCTCTTGTAAATGTAAGTGCTTATGAAAGTATATAATATTTGTGTGCTTAGCATAGTATATATATGTGTATTGTTTAATCAGTGCTTAACTTAAAATACCTATGTTATGTTGCAGAATATTCCTTCACACTGTGTGAAGATGTGTCACTGTGATTAGTTTAATAAAGAGTTGAGTGGCCAATAGCTAGGCAGGAAGAGGTTAGGTGAGACTTCTGGAGACAGAGAGGTCTTGGGGAAGAAGAAAGGCAGAGTTGCCAGCCAGATGCAGAGGAATCAGGACATGCAGAAGGAGAGGTAAAAGCCACATAGCAGCATGTAGACTAATAGGAATGGGTTAATTTAAGTTATAAGAGCTAGTTAGAGCCGGGCGGTGGTGGCGCACGCCTTTAATCCCAGCACTCGGGAGGCAGAGCCAGGTGGATCTCTGTGAGTTCGAGGTCAGCCTGGGCTACCAAGTGAGTTCCGGGACAGGCACCAAAACTACACAGAGAAACCCTGTCTCAAATAAACAAACAAACAAACAAAAAAAGAGCTAGTTAGAAACAAGCCTAAGCTAAGGCCAAACTTTCATAAGTAATAAGAAGTCCCTCCATGTCATTATGGGAGCTGGCTGGTGGGGCAGAGAAAGATTCAATGCAGTACAATTTGGAAGAAGTTTCCTGGTGTAACACAATCCCGTGTGCACAAGGAGGCATGATTACTTAGAACTTCTTCTCAACATCCATGCCACTTCTTCCGGGAGGTGGGTCCTGTAGATGGGCTATATCTTGAGGGTCTAGGGGAGGATCTGGTGTGGTCTTGGTCATATAGATAGCACAGAGGTCATCTGGGTTATTAGCCACCTCGGGTCCTGGTTGTGGGAGCCTCTGGCCATACAGATAGCACAGGGTTCACCTTGGCTACTGGCCACCTCCATTCCTAGCCTTCTGGGTGGAAAACAGGTTAAACATCTCTTCCGCAGAAGACACAACCCTGTATGTTTAACATTCCTGTTCCCCCTAGTGCTTATCTGTTAGTGCAAGGACCTTTGTGCTCCCAACCGTCACTCTGGCTGTACAGAACTGCCTTCCTCTTCCCATGCTCCCTGTAACAGATTGGCCAAGGTTCACTTAGTCACTTAACTCCTTTTTGATGAACATATAGAGACGTTTCTGGATGCTTTATTGCTTTCATTTTGGCTTTTGAAGAGAGGTGCAGAGGAAGTCCACATAAACACATCTGGATATACTTTTTTTCTTTTTTTCATCACGGGGCGGGGGTGTCAAACCTGAGGCTTTGTGCATGGTAGACAAGCATTCAACCTCTGAGCTATATATCTGGCCCACATAGATGTGTTTTACTGGTATTATTTCTCACTGGAGAATTGATGTGTTGAGAATATTCATTGGGTTTTTGCTTTTGTCTTTATTTTGAGATACAGTTTTACCAGTCAGTAGTCCTAACTGGTCTGGAACCTGCTAATGTAAAACAAACTGACCTAAAACTTCCAGTGATCCTCTTGCCTCAGCCTGTGAAATACCAGGATTGCAGGCATGTGACACCTGTCCCAATTAAAATGTTATTTATTTATTTATGTTTTGTTTTTTGTTTTTTTTTTGAGACAAGGTTTCTCTGTGTAGCTTTGGAGTCTGTCCTGGAACTCACAGAGATCCACCTGCCTCTGCCTCCCAAGTGCTGGGATTAAAGGTGTGCGCCATCACCGCCCGGCTATTTATTTATTTTTAAACAAGATCTTATGTAGCTCAGGTTCAGTTAAAACTCCCTATGTAGCCAAGGATGGCATTACTTTCCTGCTTGTCTTGCCTCTATTCCCCAAGTGCTGGAATTACAGCAGTAGTCATACCTGGCTTGAAACCGTGCACTGTAAATGCTG